GTTTCATTAGTGGATACCCATGTTTATATGTTTGCCTATTCTAGATATTTATGCAGACGTACCAAAACAAAGAAATAAAGAAGTTAAAAAAGAATTTTTAATTTCATATGATTAAGATTTGTGCTAGAATTGTTGTTTCCATTACCTTCTTTATATTATCATCCTCATCGTCATCATCTTTTCATTAGGGTGCATTTTTCTCTGGAATTTTTTTTTTAATTATTGGTATTGTTCGCAAAGTTATCACTGGAAGTTATCAGTGTTCAAAGCATTTTCGCATCACGCCGTGAACTTTTCTATTTTCTGCTGGTGTTGTTTGCTCTTCTGCTATTGAGTTGCAAAATTATTAGTGGGAACATTTTCTCCAGCAATATGCAAAAAAAGAATTTTTAATTTCATAGGTGGTCTGTCATCCAGCTAATACCGCTTTGTAAGAGAAGGAGAGAAGTGCAGGAGGGTGAAAGGAGGGGGAAGAATAAACGAGAAGAAAGACAGAGACAGATGAGTAGAAGAAACCAACGTGACAACTTTGTGCTTTCTGATTCTTTTTTTTTTTTCGCCTGCGTAATTGGTATCATTTTTATGGCCTTTTAGGAAAGTATTATCATACCACTTGACTGCTACTTTCCCTGGGCCGACAAGCTTTGGTACTTTGCAGTAGAGAGCTTAAAATTCACCGGCTATTATTGAACCAAAAAAGGTAGTAGAAAGGATGAGAAAGATTTTATAGTTTTCTAGTGGAATAAGTGTTGAAAAAACTTTGAAATTTCTTCATTCTCATTGTTGTCGTGCTTCTTACATCCTGAGATAAGCTGCTATTTCCTTACAGTCTGCTGAATTGCAGAATATTTTTCTTACTAAGTTGCACGGATTGATAGGTGCAGATGGTACAGTGTAGCTTTTTGGCGACCATACTTTTGCTCGGGTGCACTTTGATCAGTTAGCAGTGATATTGGAAATTGCCAACGATGAACAGGAATTGGCTATTATCTTTTGATTCCTAAAGGTTTGTTTGATAGCCTCATGTGAATTCTGCTCGACCATTTAAGCTTCACATGGGAATCACACACTAAAAAAAATGCATTTGACTAAACTAATTAATATCGACAAAACTTTTTAAAAAACAGCTTGCTTCAAATTCTTGTTGCGTATTTTTCACGTTTTCTTTTTTCGCTTTTTTCTTTTTTCAAATGTATTTTTCCCTAGAGTTTTTCTAACCCATATTTCAACTGGTAGTATCACCCGGATGTGTTCCGTTTCGTTCTACTCATATTTGAAATCCACTTGTCACATTCATTTAGCACTATTACTTTTGCTTGCAAAGTTCTACTTCACATTTTGTTGTTGGGCTTTCTTTGTTCAACTCTACCACCATCTATGTTTCGCCTATCAATTTTAAAGTTTTTTATTTCTTTTCTATCTTTGAACATTACAGTATTATTAATATAGCAAGGATCTATGTTCTCAATCACGCAAATATAGTACGTTCAAACTTTGAAAGAACAATTAATTTATTGGTTGTTTTGAATTGCTGTCTTATAACCAGCAGCTTGATTTTGTCTGACAGTGATTAGCCGTTGTAGCGTAGTGGTTTCAGCAGTGACGCAACATTCGAATGTATGCATATGTGTTTTTTTTTTAATAGTTTTCTGTTTCTCATTCCTTCATCAACTTACTCACCAAAACTGTTGTCGCAGCTAGTACCACTGAAAAACAACCTAAAGATCACTTTTGGAAGCCGCAAGAAGTTAGAAGACTTAAGCTAAAGAACCTGTTGGTAATTAGTAAGTGAATTCTGGAATTAAGAAGGTAGTTTACTGTATCCTGCCTTATTGGTTCGACAGGTTTTGTTCACGGCTTCTAACTTATCGAATTTTTTCGGTAAACAGGGTACAGTTGATTGTTGGCGATAATCTTAGGGAAAAAGCGGTTTTATTCAACCGAATAAAAAGCTCCCATTTTATTTGTTTGTTTAATTATTGTTTAATTATTTGTTTGAATAAAACTGCGCGGCAGTTTTTTATGTAAACTGGGAACAACAGAAAAAAAAAGCAACAGTAATATACAGCCATAATGCAATTAAGCTACAGAAAAAAAGCAGTATTTTTTAAGATACAGTAGGAAACTAATAACTTCCAAATTAAGAGTACTAATGGTTTTTCGACTGTTTATCTGCAGTTATTGAAACGGTGCAGCTAAAAAACCGTTTTTTTAAATCGATTTTCTAAATAAAAATAAGCTGTATCATGGTGACAAACGAAAACACTGAATTACTGGGTATTCCAAAGATTTTTTTTTTTTGTCGGATTATTTGACTATGCGATGTCATCTTTCTGGTAAGCAATTTTTGAACTTTTTTTTTTATTTTTCTTGTTACGTGAATCTCAAACGATCATAAAACAGTAAGATTCAGGTGTACTTTGGTTACTGACAGTTTTTTTACTTATATCAAGTTTTACTTCTACGTACTGATACTGGTCACTGCATTTGATGGTTGCTCAAATTGTTTTGATTTTTACCAGTTAATTTATCCATTTATATACAGCATTACCGATAAGCAGTTCCTAGCAAATTTTTTATGCGTAATAGGATATTGCGATTTCAATGGCAGTTTCATATTTTGCACTTCCTACTGCTGTAATGAAATTTTATATTTTGAAGTGTGCGAAAAAAATTGTCTTAACAGATCTTTCTTTTAAAAACCGACCATATAACTGCGAATTTTCTATGCTCATCAAGAACAGTATCAAATTAATCTGCTGTGGTGGAAAGACAGATACCGCCAGAGCCAGACAACTTATCTTTTTGATCACTGTGTTTAATTTTCAGTCATCTCTTTTTCGTGTGTTAATGTTAGCATCTTTAGCTTTATGTATGACAGTGGAAACATTGAATGTTTCAAAAGTGTATAACTAATAACACTCAATTACTTTGGTCCCCAGTTCATAAACTATGTGATGAGTTAGACTATTAAAGTACTAATACATTCATAGACTTTATGTCTGTATCAATAGATTGATAACCAGTTGTTTAGTGTTACTGTTATTTTACTTGAAATATTTAACAGATCATAGTCATACTAATTTCCGGAATTAAAATAGCAACAAAATTGATGGTTCTGTGCCGTTAGGGAGGCAAGTAGCATTAGAGTGGGAACCGAAGACGGCAACAGCAGCAAAGGCGGCAGCAATGATTGCAGCGACCGATTATACCCATCGATGCTGCAGTTTGACCAGCAACGCCGTTTGTTTGTGGAAATGCGGTAGTAACAGCAGTTTTTTATTCAGCATTAACGGGGTCCCCCGGAGACACTTTTCCCTCAAAGTTATCGCCTTAACGCTATTCAAACGTCTACTGTTGGTGTGTTTGCTTCAAGTTTCTGTGCATTTACTTTATTATATTGTTGTAGTTGTTGTTGTTGCCGGTGCTGTTAAAAATTTTGATGATGTTTACAGCAATGGCGTTCTATTCATCTGGAATATTTGCTGTAATAGTAGTTGTTGAGTCCAATTACCATCTTTAGTTTTCCTGTTTGCAAAAATTAATCTAACTTGTCGCATTACTAATGTTGTTACCGATTACTAAAGACATTAGGGTAATACGTGTGGTGTCGTTAAAAATTGGTTAAATTCATATTGCTTTGATTACCAGAGGGTTTATTGACAGAATTTTTTGCAACGATTAAAGCGCTTAACAGGTGAAATAAGGAGAAGAAAGTACATGAAACATTCAAATGTCAAAAAAAAAAAAAAAAAAAAAAAA